AAGACCTAATAATATCCTGTAGAACCTGTTTCCCAATGGAATGAGGACAGGAAACCCCTCTTGTTGTGGGGAGTTGGTAAAGCGCTTTTCACATAATTGTGGGGATCGAATCTGATTCCCAGAACCCACAGGTAAAAGCTGGAGCATAGTGATGTGTGCTTGCAATCTCAGACGGTGGGAAGATACAGGAGGACCTCTGGTCTCAATGGCCAGTCAGCCCGTTTGGTGAGCTCCAGGCCAACGGAAGACCCTATCTTAAGAAGCAGATGGGTTTTTTGCTATTTGGTTTTGGTTTGTTTTCCGGGAAGGGTATTTAGGGATGGCTCAGCAGTGACACTGCTTCTCTTCCAGAGGCCTTTAATTCAGTCCCCAGCATGACATCAGCTGAATTACAACCACCTGTAACTCCAGCTACAGGTATCTGGCGCCCTCCTCTAGCTTCCATGGGTACTGCTTGAGGCACCTACTCTCTTACACACACACACACACACACACATACACACACACACACACACACACACACACACACACATAAAAAACAAGATAAAAAACCTTTAGTTATCTAAAGTTTTAGAAAAAGACAAAAACAAATTGAATGGCTTCCAAGGAATTAACACCTGAGGTTGACTTCCGTGCACATCTGTATGATACATCACTTGCATTCACATGAACACACACACACACAAACATGCACACACATACACACATGCACACACACACACACACACACACACACACACAGAGCGAGAAGTGGGGGTGGATCCTCTGAAACTGAAAAGCATTACAAGCACATCCATTTTTGTCTCACTATCACCTGCCTTTTCTGGGTATGTCATCCTATCTGCCAGAATAAGACCATTACAATAGCTAGCTTAGAACTGTCACAGGCTGGGATTCTAGAAAAAAATTATTTTCACTTATCATGGAATCCAGCAATACTTGCCCAGTGTTTGTTCCTCTTAAAGTTCTTCCTTCTGGACTTCTCAGGTTTCATCTAGCCATGCCACACTGGGCACACGTGGGACTTCAGGCTAGGAGTCAGGGCTGCCCATCATGGTCCACGCGGCCTCACACCTGAGCTCCGAACATGCAGGGTGGAATTGCTAGCAGCAAAACCAGCAGCAGGTGGGCATCTACATACTCCACAGGACTCCTCAGAAAGCTCTCTGTCTCAGTTTCTGGCACCCAAAGTTGGCTAGCACTGTCCTTCCCCTTGATGTGGTTCCAGTGCACTTAGGAGCCCAAACAAACTGGTCTGCTATTCTGAATCTTACTGGCACCTTTTTTTTTTTTTTTTTTTTTTTCCGTTTAGATACTATGTCTCACTATGTAGTTCTCTCTGCCCTCAAACTCAGAGCTCTACCTGCCTCTGCCTCCTGAGTGTTGGGATTAAAGGTGTGAGCCACCGCATCTGGCCCCAAACCAGATCCTTCTAAGGAGTGAACTCTTCGTGCTTTTCTCACTTGCACAACGCTCTAATCTGCAACTTCAATGCAGATGTCCATCAGTACCCAGCCTGGCTGACGGATCTCAAACCTGCATCTAAGAGTGAGTCCAGCTCTAGCAAGCAGAGACTAGAATGCTGCTTCTGCTCTAGGGATATGCTGCGCATGCTCTGCCTCGCTCCAGCGCAGTCTTCTTGATATTTATAATATGCCATGGCCATGCCAACTTACATGTTATCTGTGCACCCATCCACCCATCCAGTACTTTCTAAGTGCTTTACACACCCAGGTTCTAGGTTATGCTGACACAGCGCTGAACAAAACACAAATTCCTCTTATATTAGTTACTTTCCTCATCACTATGACAAAATACCAGATAGAAACGGCAATCATAGGAGAAGATTTACCTAGGCTCACTGTTTGAGAAGTTTCAGTCCATCACAATAAAGAAGGTGTGGTGGGAGAGTAGCAGGCTATTCGCAGCTCAGACGACAGGCAGCAGAAAATACAGGCTACAACTAAGGGCAGGCATAGCCTTCAAAGGCCTGCCCCCAGTGGCCTACTTCTGCTAAACCTTCTAAAAGGCTCTGAAACAACATCACAGGCTGGGGACCCAAAGTTAAAGACATGAGCCTATGAGGCTGTTTCAGATTCAAACCAGAACACCCCCTGCTCTCACTCAGCATACATTTTCCTAGAGGAAGAAGACAAGTGAACACGATCATTTCACAGGGCAGCCGGGTTAGAAAATAATGGTGATAAAGAGAAAGAAATTCAGCAGGGGAGCCAAGTCAGGGAGGGAGTCCAGTTAGGGAGGGAGCCAGGTTAAGCTCTTGTAGGAGGAACACCTCAGCTCAGAATGAACCAGAGAGAAGCAGCCACACAAAAAGGCCTGGCACGGAGTATTCTTCTAGTAGCAGAGAAAACAACCAGAACAATGATGTTGTGGCCAGAACTAGCCTGTTGTAAAGAGTGAGGAATAAGGTCTTAGTGTGAGAGGAGATGGGGGTGGGCAGGAGTGAAGTGAGAAAGGACAGAGGGCCCAATGCAGCCCAGCTTCACAGTGCAGGATAATGAGAAGGTGGGCACCACAACAGGAAGCCATGGGAGAATTCTAAGTAGGGTGTGGTTATGCCCATCCTCTTATTGGGGACTCCACAATACCAAAAGGCAGTGATTCTCCATGAAATCTGTACTCTGTTTGCAGATTATCACACTAGGGAGATGACAGTGTTGTCACAGAGCAGCATGGAGGCTAGAATTGTGACACCGCCACCCAAAGGGAGGAGTTATAACACATATAGAATTAAGCTCTGCTCACAGCCACTAACTCGGCCTGGGAGAGGTCAGGATCCGTGGGTGTCCTAACCAGTGTCATTGTAGCACTTTACAGCTCTTGCTAAAACAGCTCTTAGAGATCATGCGTGGGAAACTGAGTTTCCAGGTAAATCTCCAATGCAGATTTCTTCTCTCGGTTATCAGACCTGACTAAGTAGGTGCCACAAAGATGAAACAGAGAATATTTCTCTTCAAAGACGCCAGAAACCTTCCCTATTTTCTCTGATGGGGAGTGACGGCCTGCTGAAAGGAGCCATTTCCCAGAATGCTTCTGATAAGAACACATCTTGCATCTGCGGGTAAAGACAGGGATGACTTTAAGATGTTTGTAAGACTCTGCAAAGCTTCTCATGTTCTGTGACATTAACTCAGCAAAGGAGCGGAACCGGAAGTAGGGTGGCCAGGGGAGAAAGCCGGCCACTCATGTTCTGACGGCTCTAGGAGGGCCTCTCATTAGGGATGCTGGGAGCACAGTGATGTCACTGGTGGACGCATGTCCTTCCGTGCACCTGTGTTTACCTGACGCTGAGATGCCGCCCTTCAAGGATAAAAGTGGAAAAACGCATGACTCCTTCTCTCAAATCCCTCACCGTTTACTTAGATTACTCCTGTGCCTCTGAGCTCTTTACGACTTCTGTTCAGGTCACTCTGTAATAAAATTATTCTCAGTTTATATTATGCACAAGACCGTCCTGTCTCCTCCAATATGCCCCAGAAGTAGGGACCACCAACCAATATAAAAATTTCAAACAGTGCATGAGAGGGAGAGAGAGACAAAGACAGAGAGACAGAGAGAGACAGACAGACAGGAATGAGAGATAAATGTTACTCCCCGGAAATAACGGCTGCTAAGTTTCTTGCACCTCTCTCTATAAGAGGATGTGGTCATATTCAAATTTGTGTTACTCATTACACGGTCTGATTACAGAATTTTAAAATCACTCCTGGGTTAAGGTGGCATACAAATAAAAAATTTTATATTATTGCAAAACAAGAGAGTGTGTGCCAACACGCAGATAAACACAACCCACCTCTACACTGTGGCTCGTGCCTCTCCACTCATAGCGCTTCAGCCAGAACTAGGTCAAATAGTGTGTGTGTTTGGCGGGGATGGAGGATGGAGGGTGGAAATGACACAGCTTTAGTTTGGTCTCCAGCAGACCAGAGGCTTTATGGCCCTTAGTTTGCCCTCCTGCAGAAGGAGGTTTTCCCTCTGAGAGTCTAGGATTGAAGCTTGTTAACAACAAAGAAACTGCCTCGCAAAAGTCACAGAAACTGAACTTTGTGTTAGTGCCTGAGGTTCAGCCAGAGGAAGCAAATAGGGAGACGACAGATATAACAGATTCTCAAGAGAATATGGATTAAGTGTCGCTGGAACAGCTGTTTTGGATCCATTTCCTGAATTTTCCGTGTCCTGTTAACAGAGAAGCACTCTTGACCCTGTCCTAGAGTATTCTGACAACCCTTCACAAGAACTGCCAACTCTAGGGGCCCTCAGTTCTCGGCAACACGCGCCTCTCCCGCCACCATCTGAGAGCTCATGGGTTTTTCTCTCTCGTCTTAAGCCATAGAGATGCGCTCAGGTTTACTCAGCAGCTTTAGGGTCACAACACAGGCCACTACTTAATTCTCCTTTGCCACCTCACGCCACAGTTTGCTGGACACTAGGGAAGGAGGATTCCTATTGTTCAGTCTATGGGAGCAGCGGGGAACCGTACAAATGAATACCCAGGGAGGAGAGAAGGACTAAGGTAGGGGCTGAGACTAGAGAATGGTGCTGAGAACGTGGGCACTCCATTCCTATAAAGCATCCAGTCAGTACCTGACTTCGAGCTTATCAGAGCAAAGGCACTAAGGGTATCAAAGGGGCGTAGCTTTGGGAAGGTTGAGAAGCACTGCTCTAGACCAAAGCTGGGAGAAAAGAAGTGGCATTCACAGGCTTCCTGGCCAGATCTTCCCACCTTCTCTCCTGAGGAGGGGAAGATGAAGATGGAGGTTAGGGCAAGAGCTGGAGTTAGAGTTTGGGTTCGGCCACTGCTTAGATCATCCCTGAATTCCGAGGTTTCACGTGTTCACGGACTGAAGAGAACACTGAGCGCGTGCTCCATGCTCCGACCTATCATCATTTGAAACCGTGGCTCTCCATGGACTGGACTATCTCCTCTGAGGCTTGACAGGAGGCTTGAGAACCCTCTCAGTGAAGGAGCTGTTTCCTACCTGAAAGGAATTCATTTGCCGAAGCGACAGCGGCAGGGAGGCGTTGTTCCTTGAGAGTATCAACAGCAGCTCCAAGCAGGTGGCGGAGGGCAGAGTTAAAGGGTGGACGCTGATGTCACTTTCCCACGAGCTGGCAAGCCTGCAACACAGGGATACGTTAGCTTTCAGAAATGTATGGTCAGAACTATTTTAAAAATATGACAGAGGAAAACTCATTAGTGTGTGTGAGGGGGAGAATATATTAAAAGGTGAAAATAAAACTATGTCAAAAATCTACCAGGTAGGGCTCAGTGGGTAAAGGTTCTTAACACCAAGCTTGAGGACTTGATCCTCAGGACCCAGATGGTGAAAAGAAAGAACTGACTCCTGCAAGTTGTCATGTGACCTCCAGTATGCACGTGCAACACACACACACACGACCACAGAATAAAATTTTTATATTTGCAAGGTAACTGCCCAAGCCATTTTTATGCTGTTGCTGGCATAAAGCAGACAGATTATTCATTTTTTTTTCAGGTAGTCAATATTCAAAGTATAAGAATCACGGGACGTGCAGGCTTATTCGAGTGTGACCAGCTGGGAGGGTGGGAGCAGTAACGGCTAAGACATTAAATGTCTCCTGTGTTCCCCATGCTCTGTTCACATGGAACGTCTTGATGACCCTTTGGCTACCCTGAGCAAGAGCTATCATCTCCATTTTATACATGTGGGGGCATTCTGAGTGTGGAAGACCTTAGGAAATGCCCAAGCCGACAACTTTCAGATTTTTAAAGTGTTAGGATCCTTCCGTTCAAAAATCTGGCAACGGGCCGACTGTCATACAAATAAAAACAAAGACACTGTTTGAGAGGGCTGAACTGGCAGGATGCTGGCCTTCATCCTTCAGAGAGTGGCCCTTGACGGGCCTTTGGGGGAACTGGGAAGCCCATCTGAAAACTCTAATTGGAGGCACCTTGGGGAGCACTGCTGGGTGAGGGCCTAACGAACTTTAACGTTATGCAGTGAGTCATGACAGGAGGTTAGCCCTATCGCCAAGCCCTACCACTATCTGCTCACCCATTTCGGATGTGGATGGCAGAGTACTCTCTGCCACCTCGATGGACTAGACTAGGCTGCACTCATTTCCCTACATAGGACCGGACTTCAGCAAGGATGCATTTGAATGAATTATCTGTGCTCCGGAGATTATTATTTTATATAGACTGGCTCTGCTCTTCTTTCTGCTTTTGCTCATTATCTTACATCCTCAACATGTCTCTGAAACAGGAATAAGGACACTCTCTAGTCCAGTGGTCCCAGGCTCACTCTCCACCCCTCTCTCTTACCCTCTCTCTTACCCTGCCCAAGCCACAGTTAACTTCCTGCCCTGTACAGCATCAATCGAGCCATGGACTCTGACCAGTAGTGGCAGCTTCTGGGTCTGGAAGCTTGAATTCCTTCCAGTGGACTCGAACTTCTAAAAGATGTGCACAACATTATCTCTGCGGAGACACGCTGTTTCTCGTTGCCTGGTAACGTGTGTGTATCGACTGCAGCACTTACCACTGCCACACCGGTGTCTTATTTGGAATGTGCTCCCATCTCCCGCCCACCCTTCGCGATTAGGATATGGCATGAGTGGAATCCTCTTACTTTGCAGTCTTACTTGGAAATGAAGATTAGAGAGTTGCCTCAATTGCCTCAAAGCTGCTGGTTTTACAGACACCCTCAGTTTTGTTTCTCAGTTCTGGGGATCTAACCCGAAGCCTGTGCGTGCTAGGTAAGCATGCAACCACTATGCTAAAACCCCAATCCCACACTCTGTATTCCACCTTTTAAGGCATAATAGAAATGTTCCTATCCGCCCCCCCGACAACTGTATGTTTGAGAAACAATTTAAGCACTCAGAACTTTCAACCCCACCACCCACAATACAGCTTACTGAAGCTATTCTGCATTCTGAAAATTTTAGATGTATGGTAAAAATATTTGTTTCAAACTTGTATCTCATTAAAAGCCATAGGACACTTCCATAGATTGTAAATGTCCCTTGGAGCTCTCCAATGAGCTCTAATGCTTAACCCAAGCTGATCATGAGCCTTCAGGAAGGGTTTCTTGACTGAAATGAGCACTGCAACTAGCCGGGGCCTGCTGCACTTTGTGGAAGAGCACATTCCACAAAGGACAGCTTTCTCATCATTTTCCATTCCCTCTTTGGCAGTAATGTCTTTTTGCAAGTAGAAGAGAAAACAATAAATATACAAATAAATATTTAAAGAGTTGTCTGGGTTTATTAAAGTTGTAAGATGTTCTCTACAACGTGTGCTTAAGTTTTATAGGTCCAGATCTTGGGGTTCTTCCATCATTTGTCCTGTGCCTAACAGCCAGGCAATAGACCAGGCATACCGACTGACTGTATCTGTTGTCCCACTGACAGGCAGGCACTGTGCACTGCAGCAGCCAGAGGATTATGTGATTGCACTCACTACATGGTGAGTGAAATGGTGGGAGCAGAGTAGTCAGCTTAACTTGAATGCAAAGACTATGCTGTCCCCGTCACTCTACACGGGTACCTGAAGATGCTGTGTCATACTCTCCGTGCAGAAAGAAGTCTAAAGACCCTTGGCACCTGTCTCGCTGTCTATCAGCCTTTTATCTTATAGTAAATGGAGCTCAGAATATAATCATTCTTTTATGAGAAGTTACTTTATCTTTCTCAAGATACTATTTTATTAAATAAAGCATTCCAAAACTTGAATTATAAAGGTAGTAAGACACGCATGGCGAAATATTCATATTAAATAAATACCTATGCATCAGGGAAAAAGATCAAAAAACAATGTAACACAGTGGTTTCAATCTTCCTAATGCTGAGACCCTTTAATACAGCTAGCTCCTCATGTTGTGGTGACACAGCCATAAAATAATTTTTGTTTTTATTTCATAACTGTAATTTTGCTACTATTATGACTAGTTATACAAATATCTGATATGCAGGCTATCTGGTATTTGAACCGTGTGAAAAAGTCATTTGAGCCCGGAAGGGTTGAGAATCACTGGTATAGTATCAATGGCTATTTTCCTTAAAGGGAAATTACTTTGTAATTTTTTTTTCTCCTTCACACACTTTTTATCTCGCCCAGAGACAAGTTACTTTTATGATGTTGCCATTGACTCTGGTACAAAGACATGTTTCAATGTTGAGTAAAGGTTTCAACATTCTACAGGGTGTGAACCGCCAAAAAGGGCATTCAAACAAAAATGAAAACATTTCAGCACTGACTTGTCCCTTCACCAGTAAGTCATCCCGGCTAAGCATTAGGCAGTCTAGTTACTTCAGAAAACTTCGAACTTAGTCGTTACCTCATGTAATATGTTACAGCAATACCTCATGTAATGTTACAGTATTGTGATTTTTATGTGAGAGCATTTTTTACACTTACGGTGACAAGAGTGACAGAGAAAGATATGGATAACAGTAGTTATCCATATCTCTAATGTGTTTATGAACATCTACATGATATCAACCCAGCCCTTAAGACATCCTGTGATTCAGCAGGTTTTTTCACTGAAGCCCATTTCAGGAAAGCCTGTCCTGACTGCAGAGCCTGGGAGTGACAGAAAAAGAAACACAAGCATGACCCTTCCCAGACAAACCCCACACTCTGAACTCTACCATAGAAAAACTACTAGATATTACTTAGTTGCTTTGATCCCAAAAGACTGTAACCCCAAAGGTTAACACACACTAATTTTCAGGTATCCTGAACCCTTCACTTTAAGCAATTTGAATAAACTTTTTGTGCAATTAGACAAAGCAGCCAGGCTTAAGATGTTTCCAGTTTTCTCAGACTCAACCTGTCCCAACTTGTCCTATAGCACATCATGTGTCAGTGTTAAAATTTATAAGCTGCCTCATATTTTAATCACCAAAAATATTATTTTAATCACATTAACACATAAACAAAGACATTATTACCTGAAAAATAAAAACAGTTATTTAGAAAAATAAGAGCTCTGGGTATCTTTCCTTTAAATCTTTTGATAATATTTTCACACTCTTTTTTTTTTTTAATTAAGAAAGCAGTATGGGGGTATGGGAGAGGAGAAGAAAGGACAAAGGGCAGGAGAGGAGACAGGACAGATGCAAAAAGGAGGGGGAAATGTTGGAACATACAAAACAGTCAGCAGTTATCCCATGGATTTTAAGACACATGTTGACAAAGCCAAGGTGTCACTTGCAGCTATCCAGTCATGGCTCAAACCTCACTACACATCTGATAATGGTGATGATCAAAGCCTGTTGTGAAACACAGGGCAGACTCAGGCTTACTTCTGGTATTTCCTATTAGATGGGAATCAGTCACCCTCCACTAGGAATCAACAGGAAAGATACTTCAAAGGCAACAAGGACCCAAACATCAGTCGAAAGTCATTTCCGTGACTTTTAAGCCCCGGGAAGGAGAAGCTTTCCTAAGAGACCAGAACTGTCAGTTGGGTGACCTGAGTCTGAGACTCAAATGCGAGCTGAGGACACACTGTCCGCTTTTCTAAACCTCCGCATCAGAAAAACTCCCCAGAGAACTGACTATACGGCCTTCTATTTTGAGACAGCAAGAAGGGGAGAAAATGTCACACTTTCACTTCTAACAAAAAATGGTGATATTGAGAATGAACAAGCCAATCGATATCAAGAAAACAACCCAGAAAAATAGAAGGTGAAAACATGGAAGTCATTCAATGCAATGTAAATTGGAATGGCAGAGATGACATAGGAACTCAATACTAAAAATTAAAATATCTTAAAACGGTTGACTATAACGAATGAGAGGAAAAGATGAGAAATACGAGAAAACCACGATGAAAGATGTTAACTTAGACCTTATAGCTCTCACACTTTAGTAGATGATATAGATTTTTGAATGCTAGAAACAAAGCAACAGTGTATACTAGATATCAAACATAATGGTTTCCATGCATGGAGATGTCAGAAACTCAACTGAAAAACTATAATAATGGTAAGACCACTGATTTAGTCTCTCAAAACAAGAAACGAGGCAAGGGACCACAACCAAAGGGAGCCATAGAATAATAAACACAAACCTGTTTGATATGGAAGTTGTACATGCAAACAAACTTTAGGAACCATTCTCAAGGACACAACAGTGTCACAAAAGAACTACATGGATTGCAGCTGTGCTTCTGGTAAGTCCTGTTAACACTGCTACGCTCACTTCAAAATCATACCAAGCTATGCATGTTCACAGCCCTGGATGCCATCCCAGAATCGGGAGGTGCTGCATGCCTGTAGCCTAAGTGCTTGGAAGGTAGAGGAAGAAAGAAGAAAAGTTCAAGATCATCCTTGGCTATATAGAGAGTTCAAAAGCCAGCCAGTGCTACATGAGGCTATGATGAGAGAGAAGAAAGGGTAGAGGGAGAGACAGAGAGACAGGGAGACAGACAGAAAAAGAACTAACTCATAAAAAGAGACCATGTAAACATATGTACCTCGTACACTTTAAATATGATTTGTTAAGTAATGAACAATATCCACATGAAGGTTTGTGGGGTTTTTTGTTTGTTTTTGTTTTTGTTTTTTCTGGAAAAACTAGAGAAAAACCTTGTTTTTTTTTTAATTCTTTGAATTAAAGAACTCTTGAAAGCCAGAATTTGGGTATATGATTCTTGAATGTTCTACTTTTCAAACTGCCTGTAAGACTTGTGAACTTGCCAAGGAAAACCTCTCACACGTCAGAAAGTTCAGGAAAGCCTGGAAGACACCCTCAGCTTGTAGAATGCTGTCTAATCTGTGTGAAAGCCTGATGTGATCCCCAGGCAGGACAGGACAATATAAACACAGCATTATACCTGAACTCCCAGTGCTCTGGAGGTGGATGTCTGAGGATAAGAATGGCAAGGCCATTCTCAGTTATATAGCCAGCCTCGGCTACATGAACACAAAAACCTTCAAGGTCCAGGTGAGGGGCTAAGCACTAAGCTGAAGAAAAGATGCCAGGCTTCAATGAAGAGAAATGGATTACATTGACTGGTCCTGTTGGCTTCTCATACCACTTTCCCTCATCTGCATTCATAGGCTGGGGTGTGGTATGGCCGGGACAAAATCACTAATATGAACCGATTTTCTCCAGAATGCCTCCTGGAAATGATCTGGGAGACACAGGCCTGTGGACAGAGAGTTGTGTTCCTGCCGCAGGAGACTGGCAGCTGGGCCCAGCCATCTCCTTTTCTCCCCAGTGACTCAACTACAGCCCAAACACCTAGATAGCCGCACAGGTCAGTCAGTCCCTGTCTGGACTGAGCCTCTGTTGGCTTCTGAACTGGAATTCTGAAGCTATTCCAAGACTAGAACCTTAGGTAGCGGGCAGTTTCAATGGGCTAATTCTGCTTTAAATAATGTAATAAAGGGCTGGAGAGATGACTCAGCAGTTAGGAGCACTGGTTTGCTCTTGCAGAGCAAGAGGGTTGGTTCCCAACACCCACATGGTTAGGTGGTTCATAACTATTCGTAACTCCAGTTTAGGGGATCCATTGCTTTCTTCTGACCTCTATGAACACTATATGCATGTGGTGCACATAAATACATGAAGGTAAAAACATTCATATATATATATTAAGGCAAATACGTCTAAACAAATATACCAATAAAGCAATCTCAAAAATTAACATATTCATTCTTGCTTAGAAATTGAGATTCCCAGAAAATAAGATTTTGTTTATTAGAAATGGTCACATTAGGGGCTGGAGAGATGGCAGCATTGGCCACTTTTCTAGAAGATCTGGGTTCAATTCCCAGCACTCACAACTCACAACTGTCTGCAATTCCAGGTCCATGTAACTTCAGGGTATCTGACACCCTTATGACACACGCACGCACATGCATGCAGACAGAACACCAATGGGTATAAAATAAAAAATACTAAATCATAAAATAAGAAAAAAAAAAAAAGAAAGAAATGAGCATACTGTTGTAACATACCAGTTGTTAGGAACATAAAAATATGATCAAAACCACCTCAAACAAGAGCGCAATCTAGAGCACTCCAAATGTTTGCCTTTGGTTTACTAACAGGTTTTATTTGCTTGAGGGCTGAGAAGTGGGTCTTACAATGTAGTCCGCACTGGCTTCAAACCTCACTGCAATTCTCCTGCCACCACCTCATAAGTGCTGGCTTTACAGATGTGAGGTACTGGGAATTAAACGCAGGGCTTTGTTCATGCTATGTAAGCATTCTGCCAATTGAGCTACTTTACAGAGAACCTGGTCTACAGACAAGCCTCTCCAAAACTTCCTAATTGGAGCACTACCACCGAAAACATAAAATTGTAAGCCCATTTAAAGAGGCCAGCTGCGCTCCTTTAGATCAAAGACAAAAAGCAAAAAACCCTTCGTGTCACAGAAAATTTAAAATACACAAAAGTAAGAGACAAGTCTAGCAAGATCATGCCCACGAAGCTGAGAAAAACTCTTGAGCAAACCCTGTAGACTAATCCACCCCGTCTTCTCTTAATGTCTGGTTTTCAGTGGGTTCTAAAAAAACAGGTGATTTTACAGGCTTCAGGGGCATCTCTGCCCGGCACCAGTCATGGCAGGAATGTTCTCCTACTGAGTTACTCTGTCCATCCTTAATATGAGGGAGGCGCCTAATCTTATTCAACTCAATATGCCATGTTTGGTTGCTATCGCCAGGAGGCCTGCCCTTTTCAGAAGGGAAACAATTGGGGACGGAGGAGATGGAGGATGGGGGAAAAGATGGGAAACTGTGGCTTGGCTGTAACATATGAGAGAATAAATTAATGATAACAACAACAACAAAAGACTGAAAATAAACTCTGGCTGTTGGTTGTTTTCCATCTTCTTGTTACACACTGGGGGTCAGGAGGAGGAGGAGGCACTCTTCCCCAGACAGGAAGTAATGGAGGATATCTGCAACAAACATGCTGAAGTCCCTTTTGACAATTTACCAACATAATGTACATTACGTCTTTATTCAACCAAGAACCAACCTGGTCTCATTAACATCCCTACGTGCCACCATCATGTGGACTTAATTACTCTGGAGGAAATCCCAGATAATGTATCTTTAAAAAATGATCCTCTTTTGGAAGATACCCACAGTTATAACTCAGTCTACTTAAAAAAATAATAGAATTCACTAGTATTCAATATGTAATCAGTGTTTAATTTCCCTCGATTGTTTTATTAATATGTCTACAGTTTGAGGCCAGACAAAAACAATGCATTGCAACGGGTTGACAAACATACACTGTATAATTGCATTCGTATGGAAGGATCAGAATGAGGACAGGCATAAGGACAGGAAGTAGATTAGAGGTTTCCAGGAGATAGTAAGAGAATGCTATGGGCAGTGATGTCCCTGCAAGATTAGACTGTGATGGTTACACAACCTCAAGAACATCCCAAACCAACTGAAATGTGCCTTTAAAGAGGTAATTTTATGACATTTATATTATACTTCAATTAAAGTATAATAAATTGAAATCAACAGTAAATTATCTTTTAGATGGATGAATACTGAATGCACCGACTTAACCCTAGAGTAAGGCATTCAAATCCCAGCACCACAGAGTCGGAGGCAAGCAGATCTCTTGGGTTCCATGCCAGCCTGGTCTACAGGGAGAGGTCCAAGACAGCCAGGACTACACAGAGAAATGAAACGCTGTATCAAAAACAAAACAAAACAACAAAAAAAAGAAGAATTCCAACAGAAACACCTTAAAGTCTGTATTATAATTAGTCCTAAGCATTGTTTACTTTCAAACATCTTGATGGCTATGAAAGAAATTGGTTCTACACCATGTTGCTTTACCCACAAAACATCTTCTTTTATTTTATTTACACTTTTGGTGTGCATGTGTAGGAGTACATATGTGTGTGTGATCACTCATGGGTCTCTTTGCATGTGTGGAGCTCAGAGGACAACTTTGGGAAGTTGATTCTCTTTCCAGCAGGTAGATTCTGGGGTTCAAGCCTAGGTTGTCACACTTGGCAGCAAGTATTTACCCATTGAGCCATGTTGTTGACCCACGAAATAATTTTGAAGTGTCTCTTTATATTTATTATTTTTGTTACTATTCCCTGCCTCCACCAGGAAACTAGCCTCCAGACCACTCGTTCTTACATGCTTCCATTCCCATCTTTGTTCTTCTTTTCTTTTGCCCTCATTTAAAGACTACAGTTTCTCCCTATTATTTCCCTTACTTAAAGACAATAATTTTATCTTACTATTACTCTGCTATAACTGTATGTACTTGGCTGGTTTGGGGTGTCAACTTAACACAAGCTAGAGTCACCAGAGAGGAAGGAGCCTCAGTTGAGGAAATGCCTCCATGGAAAGAAAGCTGAGCAAGCCATGGCAAGCAAGCCAGTAGGCAGCACCTTTCCATGCCTTCTGCATCTGCTCCTGTCTCCAGGCTCCTGCCCTGTTTCAGTTCCTGTCCTGACTTCCTTCAATAATAAATAGCAATAAGGAGGTATAAGTCAAATAAGCCCCTTTCTCCCCAACTTGCTTTTCGGTCATGGTTATTTTGTCAAAGAAGCAGAAATCCTAAGACACTGTAGATTCACAAGTAGTTGAAAGAGATGAGAGAGAGAGATCAGAGGGATGGCCATTAGTAAAGCACTTGCCCTGCAATTACAGAAATACAAGTCGAACTACCAGAACATAAAAATGACACACAGAGTTTTGTGGCTTGTAATTGCAGGGGTGAGGAGTAGAGATAGGAGGATTCCTGGAGCCAGCAAGCCTATCCTAATTGGTGAGCTCCAGGCTAGTGAATGGTACTGTCTCAAAAGAGGTGGACAGCATGCTGTGGGTGATTGCAAGGTTGTCCTCTGACGTCCACATGCATGCGCACATGCATCTGTACCTATGTACATTTGCACACACACATTCTGCCATGACTGTATGTCCTGGCTGGTTTTGTGTGTCAACTTGACACAAGCTAGAGTCACCAGAGAAATCTTTGTTTCAGTTCCTCTAGCGGTAGGAATGGAAGACACTAGAACAAGTCATCACTGACCGCCCTGCCCAAGAGATCTCACAGGCAATTCTGTGACTGTGTGTGAGCGCACGCACGCATGCATGCGTGCAGGTTCACCATCTGTGCAGATTCGTGTGACCAACTGACAGCTGCACTTCAAGGATCTGTGGGTCCTTCAGAGGCAGCCACTACCCTTCCTCCCGCTCTGCACCCCCTGCCAACACCAGTCTGTTCTTCAGCTCCAGGATTCTGTTGTTCCAAGGACATCATGCTATCAGTGGACCCATAGAGCACAGCGCCTTCCTGGGCTAGGCGGTTTCTCTAGGATAAAAGTCCTAAAGTGCAAAAGCTGAATCACATGATAAGCGTGTGCTTTAATTTCCTTAATTTTCATATAGTCAAACATGTACCATCCTTTTTCTTTAAGTTTAGTGCTTTTTGTGTCCTGATTGAGAAATACTTTGTGAAATTTAAAGAATTTTAATGCATTCTTCCCTTCTTCAGCTACTCATACTTCTTCCTGCTTCCTCACCATCACTGACAAATATTATCTGGGGGCTCATGCTGAAATGTCACCTTGGCCATTATTTCTTCTTGTCTCCCTGCAATAAGCAAGGCTACAGTAATGCTTATGCTAGGCTAGTATCTCTCTACGTTCTGGTACCTGGTATGTACAAACTCGACTCTAATCATCACAGTTTCAGGAGAGAAATTATCAGGCGGAAGGGCAAAGGTTCTGCCAAATTTAACAGATATTTGCAGCAAGTCTACACCAATTCACATTTCCACAACCATCCCCAAGAGTACCTATCTCATATTCCCACCAACAATGAACTAACAGACTGAACTTTTAAAGGTTTCTGGGAAACAGTATGTTACAGGAGCTACTTGCTTTACATGTCTCTACTAAACTTAAATTTCCTCTGATACATTTGTTGCTCCCACCCTCTACCCTCCACCCTGAAGTTTGAACTCAGGGCTTCATGCATGTTATGGTTTCTCATTTTGTTTCAACTTATATCAAATTTGGGTTGAGTCATATGCAGTCATATGACTACATATGCACCTCTAAGGATGGCCTAAAAGGTCATCCCACCGTGACCTCGATGTCCACCTAAGATGCTGTATCATGAAAATGTGCATACCCTTCCTCTACAAGAGGGGAGTTGGCAATGGCATAATTCAGCTGAGACAAATTACTCCTGGTCAGTCTTGGTACTTCCGTTACTAGTCACTGACTTGAATAACCTTAAATCCCAAGAGGCCTTTTCTGAACCACTGGAAGACAAATCCTAACGGCAAAGAATTCTGTCTATTGCAGAATAGACAATAAAAGGTCCCTTTCTCATGCATTAAAGATGAGGTTCTCAGTCCATAAGTTTATTGAGGAAGGGCAGTAATATTTCTAAGAGGTGGGGTATCATGGGAAGAAGTTGGATCACAGAACACATGCTTGATTGATTATAAACTGATGACTGATTATAAACTGAAACTTCTGAGATCAAAAGCCAAAACAATCCATCCCATTCCTCTTTTTAAGTTGATTATTTCAGGTGTTTTGTCACAGTAATAGACACCAATACACTGTTCATGAAGAGGAATGGTAATCCAAAGGCCAAGATCATAACTTCTGTGCAAGAGGTCTTGATTTAACAAGGTTAGCAGTTGAGATTTTTTTTTTTTTTTT